ACCAGGGCTTGAGCCCACAACCTTTTGGTGTAAAGACAAAGTTCCAACCAGCAGAGCCACCTGAGCTATTGGCCAGGCGACACGTATTCTCACAAGGTCCAGGCCCCGTGAGGGATGGGCTGGTGCTGTGATCCTCAGGCTTTGCCACGCGGCTCGGGAAGGTGAACAGATACAAACCAAGCACGCAGCGGCCGTCCACATGCACCGCTCCACTTTCCTAACCCACATACAGCACAACGAAAGCCTTAAATTTCCTCCGATATTAAACCTAATAAAGCAAGCAAGCATAGCAACATTATTAAAAGGTATTCGATAAGAGATGGAATAAAAATGATTTTTACTTAATTCTATTACTCTGAAAGTTAGATTAATTAAAGTTAGCGATTCCCCAGCAGTACAGTTAAGGTTTTACTGTAACAGTGAAATAAAATGCTATAAATAAAGAGCTCACGGCTCATGTAGCTGTGAGGTGTCTTACACTTCCCCCCCACCGAGCTCATGTTTGTATGACAAAGCACAGCTCAGTGTATGCTCGTCAATAAAGTTTCATCCAATTCCCTGCAACAAGCAGTAATTTCTCCCACTTCTAGCTCTCAGTGTACAATTTCTGCCACTTTTTATTAATAACTTAAAAAGCCAACATCAAATTACATTTTCTCTATACAGTAATACATGCTCATGGAAAACACACACACGGTACAAAAGGTCTATGATAGGACTCCCCTCCCCAGGGCCACAGGCCCTCCTCGGGCATCTCCAGAGCACCTCTACCTGAGACTACACACTGGCCTGTCCCGTTAAAGGACAATGGCAGTGTGCAGTCACTTGCCTCTGCGCCACTCTCTTACACCCTCCACCACGTATGGGGACACATCCCGCCACATCTCTAAACGCCGGCTTGGACTGCTGTCTCCTGACTCACGGACTTGAGACATCAGCATCGAATCCCTCTAACGATAGTAACCTATCTTCCACCCCATCATGACTTTTAGCTAAATCCATAAATGTCACTTGCTTTCTAAATGTTCCCTAGAGAGCACACTTCTTGTGGAGCTCTTTCTCCTAGAGTTCTGTTTCTCTTTTCCTCTTGTACTAATTTCCTTACAAAAATTCTTTCTGATTTTTACGCCCCATCCGCCCCCAGTTAGAAACACGAGCTTCCCTGCTGCATCCCGACTCTGTCCTGAGCCCTCAGCCCCGCCCGCTCGGGACTGGTAGCACTCTGCCAGAGTTTGCTAATACCCTCTTACTTAGTTTATTTTTAAAAGGTTTTAATTGTGGTAAAAAATACATAAAGTTTACCATCTTAGCCATTTCTAAGTGCAGTTCAGTGACATTACATCCACACTGTTGTACAATCTCCAGAACTCTTCTCTTGCAAAACTGAAACAACTGCCTGTTGCTCCCACTCCCCAGCCCCTGGCAACCACCATTCTATTTTCTGTTTTTATTAATTTGATTACTTATTGTGGTGTTGAATTAGCCTTAGTACTTGATAGACTGGGGATCAACAGAACAATGCACTGGAGAGTGTGGGGTTAGGATTCCGAGTCACAGGACAGGGTTCCAAAGTAAATGTCACAGCACATACGGAGGTCAGGAAGCCGCAGGCCCGAGGACTGGATGGGCTGCTTATAAGAACCATTAAGTCACTTGCTGTGGCACTGGGGGGGGGGG